CTAACCAAGAGGAACAAAGTAGCAATAACACCAAATGTAAATGTGAGGGCTGTGGATTTGAGGAGTAAAAATACATCTGAGTAAAAATACCACTCTGGGAATAGTAATTATTTTGTGATCTCAAATTACTGCCAACAGTTTAAACATCTCCCTCCATCCAACCATTATGAAAGTTGTTTCACAAGTCCTATTGATGGATGGATGTGTTTCATCCTTACTTCCTTTTACTCTTTGCCCTCTGTTGGAAGAAGGACTGTCCCTTGAAATTTGCTCAAGGAACGTTTAACAAAAGTGGAGACACAAAAATCTGGCTAATTGACAACCAGAAAAAATGTATCCCTTTGTAATAGATGGATGAATCAATATAGTTATGGTTGCCATGCCCATTTCTCAGGTGTAAAAAGCATTTTAAAATTTTTTTTTCTCTGCTCTGCAACTCCTACCTCCAGGACTTTAGAATATTGACACTATAAATAAATAAAATGCAGAAAGTTGGTAATTTTCAACTTTAGAAAAGCTAACCTAAGATTGCAATATTTGGATATTATTTCTATTTCCAAAGATGGAAAAGGGGGAATCAGCAGGGGAAGGGAGAGATTTCCTTTCTATTTATGAAGAGAGTTTTGTCAATTTCTCTATATTTCAGAATCAGTTCTCACATTTTAAATCACAAATGTGAAGTTACTAAAAATCTTAATTGTAATTTGACTTCCATAATATTTACCATATTTATTTACCAATAATCCCATTTTCTAGTGGTCATCTGAATCCTCTACAGCTTCCTTATTTTGTTGTTGTTGTTGTTGTTGTTGTTGTTGGATTCAAAGAGGTCAGAACAACAAAATATGTTTATTGCACAATTTCATACCAATAGAAGTGTACTTGGGAAGGAAAGAGTTTGTTTGCAAGGACTCAAGTCTGAAATATTATATAGACACTGACTTCCTTTGTGGGGAACACAATCCACATTTACAAATTAGAAAAGTTAAAATCCTGACCCTCAATTTTAGGTATTTAAGTAGCTATTCAGATATTTTTCTGAATATTTTCATTTAATGTGGATATCTTTGTTATGATGTTATAAAGCTCCAATGCTGATTTCTCAAAGTAAATATTCAGAAAATCCAATTTTGTGACTCATAAAAAGTAGATAATTTTTTAAAGAGGAAATGTGGGTTTTGTCATGGTGATTTTTATTTGCATGGAATTTTATATTTTAAATAATTCAACAGGTTTTATCTAGCTCTTTAGGGAAGATGAAGTTACAGATATGAAAAACCTCCAATTTTGGGATCCCTGGGTGGCGCAGTGGTTTGGCGCCTGCCTTTGGCCCAGGGCGCGATCCTGGAGACCCGGGATCGAATCCCACGTCAGGCTCCCGGTGCATGGAGCCTGCTTCTCCCTCTGCCTGTGTCTCTGCCTCTCTCTCTCTCTCTCTCTCTCTCTCTCTCTCTCTCTCTCATAAATAAAAATTAAAAAAAAAAGAAAAACCTCCAATTTTAATTTAAGATTATGAGATATTTTAAGAGTCATACAAATTCAGTCAATATTCATTGAGCTTTCACTTTCTGCCTTACTCTCATGGTCTAGGTTTTTTTTGTTTGTTTGTTTTGTTTTGTTTTTCTGTCGCTGGTTTGTTTTTTACTCATTACATCCAGAGAAAATTTGGTTTTAAGGTTTCTAGATTATCATCGGCCAAACTCCAAAAAAATTTAAGTGATCCCTAAAGATGGTATGACTGAGTTGTACAAACAAGAGTGATCACTAAGTAGGTGGTGGGTGTGAAAATCAATTTCTTACATTCAACTCAAACTCAGAATCTTGAAAACACATTTTGATTTAACGAAATTAAATGAGAAACATAATTTCATTTAAAATTTGATGCTCACATGAAAACAAAAGTTGTTGAAGTGAGCGTATACTGAACTACGCAAATTTGTGAAAAATAAGAACTTCTAAATAAGAACCTAAATAATCAAGAAAGACGCTAGCTGTAGAAGTTAAATGCCTTATAACTGAGACAGGCGGAAAATCTTAAACTGGCTAACAAAGTGAGGGAAGAACAGGTCATTGTTAAGTAACATAAAACAAGGCCTGGGTAATTAACCAAATTTAGTGTATTTCCATCAAACATCAGGTCTGGAAAAGGATAAAATTTGTGAAACTGAGGCAGTGAGTGAGAGTGTTCAAACCCAGAATTTTAACCTTAGTATTTACACAGACTCTCAGATTTATGTCAAAATTATCTAAATCTCACCATTACCTGTTGCTGTACAGGCAATGGAAGATTTCTCTTTAGGCAGAGTAAAACCAAGCTCCAGAAACAACTGATTTATATTTTTCCAATTTTTAAGCCATATTGTTTTGGGAAGATGTGAAGGCTATGGAGATGTTTCTCATAGAATACAAATGAGGGCTCAGTATCTCTGCATATAACCATCCTCAGGGTTAATCAGGCCCCCAGGGTAAAATCTCTGCATTAGTAGGAATATCTATCTCCCTCCTGTATTAAATATGCCTCTAATATGTTTCCCTGTGTATCTGAATCACTTATCAGGAATACTTTATGGAGTAAATAAATTTAGAAAGAAGAAATGCTCGTTCTTCAAATGTGATGAGTTGAATCATACCAGGCAGAGGGAATCAATACTAGTCTCATAGAGCTACATGTTAGCTCCTTCAGGGTGAACACTCTGTCACCTACTTTATTTATATTCCCCCTCCCACACTCCCTTACAGAACACAACAGATTGTTTTAAAAACTGCTTTTATCTCCCACCTGCCCAATGTAATTATATTACTCAAGAAATGCTGGCATTGAATTTCTGTCCTCTGCTTTTGAATCAGATGAAACACCTGTGCAGCCACTAAAAAAAGCAAATGGACTTAGTTTGGGGTCGTTCACGTTTGGGCCTGTTCAAGTTCAAAATCAAATGGCAATATATGCCCACAACCTGGGGAGCTGTAGAATTTGTGAATCAGATCTGGAAAAGCCCTCTGTTTTATTATGGAGGTTGCTATGGAGATGACTATGTGGGAGGCAGGGAGGTGGTAGGGGAAGACAGTGGCAATATTTTGGAATGGTCAAGCCTTGATTTTTTATAAGAAGACAAAATCAAGTTTTGAACAACAATATTCCATGTATATGGATATTACTGCTATGAAAGCAAGATAACCAGAGAAAGGATAAACAGAAAATCCAAATTAAAGTCTAGGTATCTTAAATTATTGGCCATGAAATCAGTTAATTTAACATATGTCTTAGGGGTCATGCTATATTCATACCTGAAATCCTAAGATCTGGTACATGCCTAACATACACAGTTAACTCAAAAAATATTTGCTAAACTCAATTTTTTTGGAGAGGAAATTTGGGTAGCAAAGCTCCTAATTCTATTTCCCAACAGCTCATTTATGAAAATTATTAGAACAGGAAGGTCTCAACTCTAGAGATACACTGCCTCCTGCCCTAGTGCTCATAAATATATATTGAATGGATGAATTAATGAGTGAATAAAAACTTGATGTCCAAATTCTGGTATAGACTGAGTGTACCTGCCCTCTAATGTTACTAAAATATCATGTAGTACATTGAAATTATTACCTAATAATCTGAAAAAAAAAAAAACTGACCACCAGGTCACAATTACTTTTCCTTCTACACAACTGAGCTCCTGAAGATGCAGGTCACACTCCAAAATGGAAAGGCCTTACCTATCATTATGTCCCTATGTAATGCTAAAAACAGAGACCCACAGAACTTCCTGGATTCAAAGCCACTTGCAAGACACCAGTCAGGCCTTCAACAAAATTTGAAAAAAAAAATGTAAATCATCTTGGGGTAAGAAAATAGAAGGTTTCTCCTCTATTATTTCTTTTTCACAAACCTTGAATTTCTCTAGAATTAGAGAAAGAAAATGTTTAATAGCTCTTTTTTTTTAAGAAGAGAAAAAAAAAACACCAAAGAATCAACTAGAATAGTCTATTTACTTCTCTTAGCCTTTGCAGAAATAAGATCCTAACCCAATTCCAGCTTTTGATTTTATTAAACATACACAGAAATTCGATGATATCTGTTCTCTATTATATATATATATATATATATATATATATATATATATATATATATAAATGTTTAACTATAGCAAGTCTCAAAACAGATGACTTGAAAAAATTGATAGGAAATAATCAGGGACTGCAGTTGCCTGCTGGACATTATATAGCTCACTATAAAGAAAGACCATAAAATATCAAAATGTATCCGGGTGCGGATGGGGGAACACATTGAAGCATCAAGTTGCTAAAGTTCTCTTAACTTCAGCACAGTAGATACATTTTGAAGCATCTTAGCTGTTGACATGGCATGGTTCAGTACTAATTTTGTGTCTACTATGCTATATCACTGCACAATTCTCTAAACACACAATGAACAAAATTAGTATAAATATAATACCATGTTAACTGCCTTTGAAATCCCATGGAAAATGTTTTTTTTTTTTAATTGTTTGGTTTTGGTTTCTGGTTTTATTTCATTTGCCATGCAGGCTCAGAACAATCCATGAGGTTTAAATGATCTTTATAGCTCCACTTTGGGTTCATGGTGTTTTGATGTTATTCCAATACAGACATCTTCATGCCCCTACCCCTGTCAATTTCATAGCTGCCAGTGGCTGCTGTACTTTTCCTGTTCCCACAGTTAATCTGGGTGTCCCATTGCTCCAAGTTGGGTGGTACACCATGGATTTTTTTTTTTTTTAGTATGTCAAGAACTGACTGACTTTAAATTTCTCTGGGATCTTACCTACTCCTTCCATGGAATTTGATGCTTTTGATTATATATTAATATTTATATATGTATGCTTATACATATATAGATATAGAAAATACACACATTAACACACTATAATATATATAAAACACATGTATATTCACATATATGTATGTATTGTTTTTTGCAAATGTAAAAATAAAGCAAGCAAAACAAGACTGACCTAACCTACCTGTACTCGGCTCACATTCAATGAAGTCTTCATCATCGCTTGAACATTCAGCAGATGAAACAAGGTCATCTGATGTTGGCTGTGTATGTCAAAGGGAAATAATGGGGTAGGGGGAAGAGAGAGGAGAGAGAGAGAGATAAGGAAACCAATGAACCAAAGCCTCAAAGACTTATCACTATGTCCTGCCTCCTATCATTATTATGTTTCTCTTCTCTAAAGAGGGCATGCTGTAGGATAGAGCATTTTAGACTCTTGTGTAGCTGTGAATGACTATGGGTTTAGACAACCTGTATGGGTTTTATGAGAAGCTACATGATTCAAAGCAGTTCTAGGAGGCTCAGGACTATCCTATCCTTGTAAGTCACATTGTACAATCTGACTCCATTCTAATTTTGATTTCAATTTTGAGAATCTGAAGGGCAAGAGAAAGGTTATACAAATGGTGGGCAATACAAGAGTGCAAGCCAGCATGGAAAGGCACTGCAAACTTTGAGAGGGATTCAATGCATATGGTGTGTGGTCTCAAGTGTATGATTTGGTGGTTGTGAATCTATAGGCAGGCATAATTAATGAATGCTGTGGAATGCAGTCTGTTCAGGAACAGCATAATGGCTTTTCTCGCTAGCAGTGATCGCTTCATGTAATTGCAGCAATTAGCTGAATTAGTAATGTAGGCCAGCAGAGAAATACCACATGACAGCCTCTGGACACAGGTAAGACTGTTTCTGATGACAGCAGAAAAAAAATCTGGTTACAACAATAGTAATTCAACTTGTGACAATTTTTTTTTTCTATTAGATTCTGTAGAAACTCCTCAATGCCAGGGAATCTGCTGCAAGAAATATAGGAAACTTTGGGTATGTGTAATAAGAAGCACCTTTGCTACATAGAAGATGAGAAGACTATTTTCTGTACCTGATATTGCATGCACAATAAATACTATTGAATGATTAATCTATAGATCTTATGTAAAAAACAAACTTTTGTCCTACTATGTACAAAAGAATACTCAATATATAGTAGTTGTTCAATAAATGCTCATTTATTTCCTCTTCTTGATATTAATAGCATTAATTGACTTCCTTGGTTTTATTATTCCCAATGCATTGAAGTCTGAATCCATATTCAAGAGGAAAAGCAATTAGAAGTCAGATGCTGAGCTAGACATGTATAAATATATATACATGTGTGTGTATATATATATTTAGTTATATATATATATTTAGTTATGGATGTTATTAATAGATTAGATACAATTCTCACAATAATCCTTTGGGATGGATATAATTATTATGCTTTTAAGGAGAACTGGAGTTCAAAGAGGACACAAGAAACAATGAGGATTCGAACTAAGATAGATCTTAGTCAAAGTCTGCATTTGTGGTTCACAGAGGCTTCTTTTACACCTCTTCTTGCACGATGTTGGTTTTGGACTGAACCATGCCCTCCAAAATTCATATGCTATAGTTCTAATGCCCCGTACCCCAAAATCTGACTAGTATTTGGAGATAGGGTCTGTGTTAAAATGAGATCATCAGGGTAAGCCAAATCCAATATGGCTGGGTTCCTTAAGCAAAAGATGAGATTAGGACTAAGCATGCACAGAGGAACCACCATGTGAAGATAAAAACAACAAAAAATATTTAATATTTCCAGACAACATCCTTTTTGAAATACACACACTAAGCATAGAATTACTGGACACAACAAAACATAGTAGAAAAATCACATGAGGTAATTGATTTCATTTAATTCACAGGGGCAGAGAGGTGCCTTAAACCATGTTATTGATCTTTATTCTACATTTGACAGAGAGATACTTCAACCCTGCTCCTTCTTAAAGTTAATAGAAAAAGAATTCCAAACATACTATTTTTGTTTTCAGTTGAACACTACTGAAGTGTATGTTTCATTTCCAGCAACTGAAGCTGTCAGTTGTACAATAGAGCTGCCATTACTTGTGTTAGAGAAATGGTGAGCATACTTCCTTGGAGTGTCCCATTGTGATTAGACCCTATGCAGGCTCACTTTCAGTTACTTAGGGAAGGGAGGTGGTAAGGGAATACATGTTAACTGTGCAAAAATCCAGAAGGCTATCATAAGAGGTAAATGGCCATTTTGGAAAGATCACAATCATTGTTCGATCATTCTAAAGCATGAGTTACCCATGGAGGATAATATCTCCCTCAAGGCAGCAAAAAGCATTTTGGGTGTGTGGGGGGTTGGATCCCAGATATTAAAATGTTTTTTGACCTGCCAAAAGCCTACAGTACTTAAATATACAGTATATCTGTGGTATTAAAATTTTATGGGAGAGGGGCAATTAGGGGAAAAAAAAAACTGTCTAAAAATCTCCCTAGAGAGCAGTAATAAAAAAGAGGTTGAGGTTACACTTCTAAAGTGTAATCAATTGGAAATTAATTGTTGGTGACTTCATTATAGGGACCTTGCAGAATGGCCTATATACGGCATAACTAGCTTAGGTTCCTAGTATTGAGTAAAAGCCAGTGAGTTAAGGAAAGTCTAGTGAATTCATCAAAGGAACTGAAAGCCACGTAGTTATTCTAAGAAAGTCATATTAATTTTGACTGGTCAAAGATATGATGTAAAGTTTGTTTCAAGAAAAGTACTGGACTCAGGTTGAAGGATATTTACTACTTTCCTCTCAGCTTCCCTCTGCCTCCTTTAATACTACACAAGTGCTCCCCTATAGCTACGTGGTTTGGATGGCAATGTCCCCAGTACCACTCTCCTTCACCATCATCACCTCCATTTCAGTTCCCAAAATGAACCGCAACCACCATTGCAGACCCCACACATATGCTCTTCCACGTTTTCACTCCCTTTCTTCCTAAATAACCCTGTGCCCTATGACTCAGAATTTGATTTGTGTTGATCTTCTATATGAATATGGATGAATACAATGTTCCTCCTAGGCAACAGAATCACATTTTGCCAGTAGCTCTCATTAATGGTGGCTAGACTCCAAGGCGGGTCCATGACAGGCAGTCTTGCAGAGCATGGAATGAGCAGGACTGACCCTCCACAGAGCATAGCTGTGATTCCCAGCTCCTACACTTACAGTCAGTGACCAGGGGGGTGAGTTTATTATTTCCCCTCTCGAAGCCTCAATTTTTCCATCTGTAAATTGGGATACACACAATATCTTGTCATTAATTTGTGTAGTGTTAAAAATGAAGCTTTGGGAGCACCTGAGTGGCTCAGTCAGTTGCGTGTCTTACTCTTGGTTTTGGTTCAGGTCATGATCTCAGGGTTCATGAGATTGAGCCCCGTGTCAGGCTCTGTGCTCAGTGGGGAGTCGGCTTGAGATGCTCTCTCTTCTTCTCCATCTGCTCTCAGCCCATGCATGCATGTTTTCTCTTACACAAAAAATAAATAAATCTTAAAAAAAAAGTGAAGCTCTGTTCCTGGCTTATGGTACATGCTCAATAAATATTAACTAAACTAAGTCAATCAATTAATCAATAACAGCACTTCCAAGCCTAGTTGCTGTTCCTAGTTTAAATAAAGTTGCTATCCAACTATGTATTCTTTCTTTAATGATTCATACCCAATAGAACTGTTCTTCATTACTGATAATTCATTAACTCTATTTTCATTTATCACCTCTGGATGCATCTGCCATGAAGAGTGATAAAGAAAAATATACTCATAAAGATGCCAAGAGAGCTTAGAAATCACTGGAAGATAATCTGTTTCCCATGGCTCTGGGTCCAGACAATCTGTGTGGGTTTTATATGAATCCAGCCCCTTCCTTTCTGCCTCTCAAACCTCATCATCACCAATTACAGCCACTGCCAATGAAATTCCCAAAGCCATTACAAACATCTCAATCCCCTCATTGCCCAACACAGTAACCAATGTTTGCCTGGAGAACCTGGCATCCAATACTACCATGCTTGCCACAGAACACTGTAGTTTCAGAAATACTTGCTCTGCCAGGGGCAGCAAGCTTTAATTTGCAAGGGACTCAGGATTTAGCACACTATATTTAGGGATTATTATTTTTTTTTTTACTACTTCTGTCCCTGCCATATAAAAACCCCAAAATTACAAACCAAAAGCTTTTGGATGACACATACTTAGAATCACATCCTAAGGTAATGACAATCTGATTCAAAATTACTCTCAGAAAACCTAAGGCTTTCTTTTAGTAGCTCTTTAATTTTCTTGTCTGTGTCCTTCCCCAAATATAAGTAAATGTAGGGTCTAACTCTAAACTTTGGGAAAAAAGTCATACTTTTTTGACTAGTGGTTCCCATGATTGGTGAATTATGTTCCTCTATTGCATATACACACAGACTCAGGATATAATTATTATGACTAGAAGGGAACTATGGACTTTTTGTCTTTAAATAAAATGCAATAGCCATAGGCTATGTGTGTGTGTATATTTTCCTACAATCATGTCCATTTTTCATAATTACTCATAATTCCTTAGAAAAAAAGAGCAGTTAGCACTCTGAGAGAAAAAGATATTTGAACTTTCTAGAATCATGCCTACTAATAACATTTACCACTTATTAAACACTTGCTCTATTCAGACTTCATGCTACGCAGTTAACACATATTAACACATTTAGTACTTCTAATAACCAGCGGTGTGGGCATTTATAGTGACATCTGCTACTTTTAACTGCCCACCATGCATGCTCCTTCAGAGAATAGTATTGCTTTAAGAAGTTCTTCTATTCTTCTAGTTATGCAGAGAATGCTTATGAAGGTGCTTTCTATGTCATCTTCATATTTTTTTTCTTCACAATGATTGTCTAAAGCTCTCATAATTCCCAATGACTAAGTCTAAAGTGTTTACATATTATGGCTCATATGTCAAATATCCACATTATCTATAAGTCCATCAAGAAAGAATAGAAGATCTATGACCATCTCCAAACCAAACAGTTTGATGCTGGCTGGACTACTAGATCCACCACCTGTGATATATGACTATATAATTAAGGTGCTTTGTTCATCTTTCATTCATTTCTTTATTACTTGAATAAATATTTACGGAACACCTATGTGTCAAGCACTGTAGCCATTATGAAGAATAAAGTG